GTTTAGGATTGTCTGAAACAGGTAAAGATAAATTATCTAGAACTAACTTTCCTCCAACGCTTGATACATTAATTCAGCTCTATATCAGTATAGATAGAAGAATCAGAGAACGTAAAGCTGAGAATGCACTCACTAATTCACTTTGGAAAAAACCCAGTTCTCCCTTGCGTATGCCTGATAAACCCCTGCAACCAATTGAACCTATGGAAATTGGGTTTGTTAGGGCAGTGTTTCCCAACCCAGTCCTCAAGGCACACCTACCAGTCCAGGATTTAGGGATTACCCAGTTGTATCTAAGGTGTTTTTACAAAGAAGAAAAAAAACACCTTAGACACAACTGGGTAATCCCTAAATCCTGGACTGGTAGGTGTGCCTTGAGGACTGGGTTGGGAAACACTGTGTTAGGGGACCCCTGTCTCTTGAAGGAAAAACAAGGAGAGAATTAAATCTCTGCATGTATTGTGCCTCTAATGAACACCTTTTACAAGAATGTCATCTATTAAAACGCTCTAAGGGAGGTAAGGTTAGGATTAATACCTCAATACTGAAAACCCTTCCCTCTTCTTCCTCTCACCAGTTTGCTGTACCTCGTAACAAAAAAGCTGATGCTCTTTCCAGAATTCCTCGTAATCCTTTTTCAGAAGAGAAAGTCTTCACAATATTGCCAAACAATAAAATAATTGGTGTAACGGACCGTTTTGCACACAAGGGGTAAAAACCGTTTAGGCGATCGGCCCCCTTTCCAGAGATACAGGCACAGCTACTGCAGAACACCAAACTCCCGAACTGGATACAAAATAGCACTCCAACTCCCGAACTGGAACCTCCCAAATAGCTGCTAGCAGACGAACAGGAAAAGCAGACAATCAGCTTACACTCCTGGCAATCAGTCTCTAACAGCATACAGTGAATCCCCCCAAGAACGAGACAAGGCTCCGTGTTGAGGGTCAAGCAGTGGTCTGAGGTGCTGGCACACCCAGCCTGGTTTTTATTACAGTCTTGCAAATACAGGACCGCCCACAGGGACAACTAATCACATCACAGTTACATCCCACATATTCCCTCGCCTTATCCTGGGAGGAAACTCAATTACACATACAGTTAAAACATACTTTCTACCCAACTTTCATAACTCTAAAACCATACATCACATTCACATAAAATTACATATTCACAATCAATCCATTCAGGGGAACAACATATTCAAAATGGCACAAATCAGACAAGGGGTTCAAAAGTTAGTAAAAAGTCCTTTGTGACTAAATGAAGCATGGCTTTCTGGCCCAAACCAGTTTCAGAGTCTTCTATCCTAGAGATAAGTAATTCAATTATCTCACAGGACAGACACAAGACTCCATTAAGCACATGGTTGCAAAAGACACAAAACACTTTAAAATACATAAAGTCACATTTTACACATAACACACAGACATTTCACATATCCCCAGATAGCTCAGGTCTGAGCGCACATTATTAAGTGAATGGCGCTCGGACCACACAAATACAGTTTAATCGCCATGGAGCAAAAGTCTTTACAGTCAGTTTCATACAAATGGGCTCCATGGTATTCCTATCTGGGGTATAACACATTCAAACAAATCTACCGAACCCCAGGCAGAAAAGCACGAATTAAACTTTTCTGCAGGTAAAAAAGATGTCTTTTAACAGGGGGCCATAGTCCAAAGGCAGCAGGCGAGTAACCAGGCTTCTCCAATGCAATGTGGCGAGATTGGTCTCGTCACATCTCTCCCCTTTTCCAAACAGGCTAACAGGGTATCTGACCTCCTGCCGGTCAGTGCCCTTGTTAGTCCAGCAGCCCACCCACAAAACATAATCAGCAGCACAGCCCACCCACAATAAATGGTTACTACACCTGGGTAAAGGAGAAGCTTGTCCATGTCCAGGTGCCTCACCACGGCTGTGCTGGGTACGGGTATGCTGACTGGGTGGGTTGCTGCGTGGGCAGAGACCAGCGGCACTCTGCCCTGTTGCCAGCGCTACTGGGAGGGTAGCCTGGTTGAAGCCTGGTTGTTGGAGGGGGAGACCGACTGTCTCCCCTTTAACTACAATGCTCTGCTGCTGGAGACCGACTGTCTCCCCTTTAGACACACAGCTCTGCTGCTGGAGACCGACTGTCTCCCCTTTAGACACACAGCTCTGCTGCTGGAGACCGACTGTCTCCCCTTTAGATACACCGCTCTGCTGCTGGAGACCGACTGTCACCCCTTTTGTTGCACAGCTCTGCTGCCGGAGGGGGAGACCGACTGTCTCCCCTTTGGATACTCTAAGATGTCGCTGGGGAGAGGGGGTAATGGGCTCCTCTCCCGATAGAACACTCTGCCGCTGGGGAAAGGAGACTGAGCTCTCTATTCCCTGCCCATTAATGATCCGCCGCTGGGGAGAGGTGGTAGCAAGCTCCTCTCCCATACATACTTTCATCCTCTGTGGAGGGAAACCGACTGTCTCCGCTCCCAATACAGTGTCCTGCTGCTGGGGAAAGGAGACTGGGCTCTCTATTTCCGGTAGGACACTCTGCCGCTGGGGAATGGAGACTGGGCTCCCAATTCCCTGCTGTATCTCCCGCTGGGGAATGGAGACTGGGCTCCCAATTCCCGGCACATCACTCGGCCGCTGGGGAATGGAGACTGGGCTCCCAATTCCCAAAAAATCATGCTGCTGCTGGGGGGGGGGACCAACTACCTCTGCCCCCTGTAGCTCAGCCTGCCGCTGGGGAGGGAGGACGCTGCTCTCCTCTCCCTGCACTTTACACTGCCTTCCCAGCATATCACTCTGCTGCTGGGGGGCAGGAACAACTACCTCTGCCCCCTGTAACTCAGCCTGCCGCTGGGGAGGGAGGACGCTGCTCTCCTCTCCCTGCACTTTACACTGCCGCTGGGGAATGAAGACTGGGCTCCCAATTCCCAGCATATCACACTGCCGCTGGGGAGAGGAGACTGGGCTC